ATTTTTTTTTTTTTTTTTTTTTTTTTTTTTTTTGAATGTCCAGAGGACCACATTAAACTTTTTTAGATCCTCCTGGAATGTTTTGAAAAAAACAAAAATGATTTGTCTCCTCACCCCTCCCTTCTCCAAGGCCGTGGACATATGACGAAACCTCAACCGAGCTAAGGATAAATATCACCTCTTATCTGAACAATGGCTGGGGGGGGGGGGGGGGGGGGAGGGGCTCTGGACTATGCTACGACTTTCCCGTAAAAATTCAATGTCTTCACCGGCCTATATGTAAATGTATAACATCTATTTATGTTGCTTTGCTGTGGTAGGTTTTTTTTTATGCCTCAAATCGTGCCCTGCCCAAGACACAACGTGAGAGATCTTTTTCTTATACCGTCTCTCCTCATGTTTTCTTCCTTCTTCTCATCTAAGCAAATTATTATTCTGAATAAGAATAAGAGGGCCACACTTTTTTTTATAGTAGCAGCTTTGTGTACATCGCCCGGATGACTGTACAGTACGTACATGTTCCCGTTGTATCAGGGTGCTGTCAGGATTTGGTGGTCAGGGACGAACCCAGTGTGCAGACAGGACTCAACTCGGCAGATTACAAAACTAAATACTTTAATGATGAATAAAATTACAAAGAAACACGCTGACGAGGCAGCAAAACTTACATGAACTAGAAGACTCAGGGGGAAACTCAAAAAGGACTCAGGAAGCTCAGAGAAGACTCAGGAGACGCAGGAGAACACTGAAGACCCAACGAGTACGACGCGACAAGGAACAAGACTGAACAGACGGCTTATATACAGAGACAAGACGAGACGTGATTACAAACAGCTGTGACGAGACAAGGGTGGCACCAATTAAACTGAAGAGGAAACACTAGGGAAACACAGACACAAACAGAGCCAGCAAATGGTACCATCCTTACAGGTGCAATGATAATAAAGCTTATTCTGAATCTGATTCTTAAATTCACCCTCCATAATCTTTCCCACTTCCT